AAGACTTTCTGGCGATAGATGAATGTTCAGAAAATGACGACATTCTGCGCGCACATCTTTTTTGAGCCACAAAGCGTGAAAAACGCTCGACATAACAGTGACGACCCGTTGCCTGGAGAAAAACACATATTAAATGGCTGAGATGAAGAGGCTGCAGCTGCTCTTGTCAAAGTCCAGCCCCCAGGCCAAATGTGGCCCACAGGCAGATTTTATTTGGCCTGTGGCTTCTGTTTTAGAGTGTGTTATAAGCGGCCCGCCAGCCAGTACGCTGCGGTTCTTCCTTTCGCCTGATGGTGGCGACAGTGCTGTGAATTCACAGTGTAATGCGCCACACTGCGGTAACAAAGTTAGCTAAAGTTTAAGAGCCTTTCTTCTCTGAATAGACATGTAGCTTCATTTACTGACCTACATTTAGTCCAGACTGCAGCCATAAAGCTCAAACTCAACCCCGATAACCGGCGATTTTGGCCAAATGGAAATTTGAATACTTTTTTAGGTAAGCAATTGAATATGACTATAATTAATACAATAGACATGTTTTATTGTTACTCTTAAACAGTTTATCTATTTGTTATAAGCACTTACTGATTGCTCTGAACAAGCCAACAATAAAAGAAGATTTATGCATCTTTTACACAGTGATAAGAAAACACTGAAGCTCACAGAAAGCTCTAATTCTGTGTGCTGATATTTTGAAAACTCATATTTTGAATCATTAGTGAATGTTATGTCGGCCCTAGGCGGCACGGTGGCGCAGTGGGTAGCGCTGTCGCCTCACAGCAAGAATGGCCTGGGTTCGATTCCTGGCCGGGCGACCAGGGTCGTTTCTGTGTGGAGTTTGCCTGTTCTCCCCGTGTCTGCGTGGGTTTCCTCCGGGTACTCCGGTTTCCTCCCACAGTCCAAAAACATGCAGTCAGGCTAATTGGACATGCTAAATTGCCCCTAGGTGTGAGTGTGTGTGTGTGAATGTGTATGTCTGTTTGTCTGCCCTGCGATGGACTGGCGACCTGTCCAGGGTGTATCCTGCCTTCCGCCCAGTGACAGCTGGGATAGGCTCCAGCACCCCACCGCGACCCAGAAGGATAAGCGGTTTAGATGATGTATGTATGTATGTAGGTATATGTCGGCCCTCAGGTGCTTTGACATGGTAAGATTTGGCCCTCTTTGAAAAAAGTTTGGGCTACATGGAAAACTCAATTCCTCAAAATGGACTTGAGGTCTGTAGGCTAGTTTGTCTGTCCACTAAGCTGATGTTGTCTCTGCTGTTTCACTGCCAGTCACTCTATATGTAAGCTGAGGACTGAGCCAGACTAATAACATAGGCTAATGTTCTTAAACTTGTAAAGAATAAAGTTTTTACATTAATTAATTTGCCATTTGTCTCGAACCTGTGAACACAAGCTATTCCGCTCTGCCCTGGTTATGATTTTAGATGTGTGTCATAGCTGCAGTCACAGATTTTGGACCAGACACTACCAGAACTTTATCACTGGAAGTTAATTGGTTGTCACAACCAATGTTAAATATTTAAAGACCACCAATTTTAACTCGCAAACTCATTATTTGTGATTTTCTTTTTCTGCGACAGCATTATCAAGTTGATTATTGCACAGTATAAACCTGCCTTTAAACAGCAAAATGCACCACACTCTCTGAAAACAGGTCTGGCTTGCAAGATGAAAAACTTTTTAATAACTTTTTAAGCACCTTGTAACTGTTGTAACTGGTACTTTGTGCGGAACAGCTGGTACTCAAACCTCATATCCAGTTGGGGATCTCCCAAACAGACTCTCACTCTCTCTCTGTCTCTATCACGCTCTCTCCCCCTCCCTCCCCGTGTCCATCCGTCAGTGATTGCGCTTTAGTTGATTACTTCTCCTTTAATTGTCCCTGTTAAAGGGGGAATTTGCTAAAGCAGGTAGAAACGCCTCTGATTCGCACCCAGGGCCAAAGTAATTCTTGCGCTAACTGCACTTTCCCCCAGTTACGTGAAAAGCGTGCAATTACTGCTGTTGGCGGTACTTCAGGTGTAATAGGATGGTGCCACCAAAAGCGTTTTCTCTCTGGCGCAGAGGACTCTTCCTTTTGTCACCCACTATTTCGTCTAATGGCCTCAGTGCACCGCATTTGTTGGTGATAATTGTAGTAATTATTGTGCAAACTACAGTCAGCAAAGTCCATTAACTTGCCATAAACATTCATTGGATTGAGAGGAATTAACAGAGACATGGGATAAAAATTAGAACAACACTCAACTGTCACTCTTAATGGAACCAGAAACGAAGTCTCGAGTTAGCTTTGTGTTTCGGGACCGCTAGGAAGAGAGGCAAAAAGAGAGAAGACTGGGAAATCATTCCTGACTTTGGTTTAGTTGGTTTAGATTGCAGTCATCTTGCATGGATACCAGTAAAGGAAAAGCACCAGTGGGTATTTAAGTTATACCTGCACTGTTGTACACTGTATTAGTCTTTTAGAGAAATTGAGTAATGACTTGGCAATAAGGGTGTAATAACGTACTCATATGCCAATCAGAAGATTGTGATTCAGCTGAATTGATTTTGGATTGTTAGAATCCATTACAATCAATAAATTATGCCCTTATTTTTTGGCCACAATAAAATTCTTTAAACCTAAAACAAAAAATTTGCTTAGATTATTGTTTTGTCTAAATTCAGCTACTGTAAATAGTTTTTTTAGTTATGTTTATGTATTCAGCATACATTTTTTTTATATATTTTTATTTATATTTATTTTTTTATTTTCAAATTAGTAACAAATAACTTCAAAGGTGCAGGAGTGTTACATCTTGCTTGTGTATATATATATATATATATATATATATATATATATATATATATATATATACTTACAGTCCAGCGTGTCAGCGTTTAAACATACACTTACATACAACAGGTATCTCATATGTTGAACCAGGTTAGTCTTGGTCCTTTTCGAAATGGCAAACAGAGGACCCCATATTCTATCAAACTGCTCTTACTTCATTGTTTAAAAATTGCAGCTTCTCCAAATGCAATACATCAATTAGTTCCTTTATCCACATTTCATATGTTGGTACTGACTCTTGTTCCCAAATTTATAGTATTTTTTATTTTTTTTGCAATAACCATACTAAAAAGAATGGCCTGCCGTTCATGTTTCTCCACGGTTACAGAGACATTAGTTGTTTTATATTTATTTTTAAACCAGTTTAGTTGTGGCTAGTTTTGCCATCTAGATGTCCATCCATCACACAGTGCTAACAACCTGGGAGACTGAAGGCTGGCACACGTTTCCTCCAAGATACATGAAGCTAGACACCTCATTTTTCTTAATGCAACGTCCTCAATGCGCTTGGAGGAGAATGCTAACTGCCAGTTCTGTTGTGTCAGCTGACAGATGCCTGGACTTTATAGCCTTGAGCTGAGTAATTGAGGGAGAGAGAGGGCAGATTATTGGACTCCTGGTCATGAATGGCTGTGGCATCTCCGGGGATCTCCCAATGATGGGGCCATTTGGGAGCCACTGCATTTTTAAAAATCATTCTAGATCATACCAACATCATTTTCATGATACACTGAATTGTTATTCGTTATTGAATTGAGTTTATTTACCTTTCTTAGTACCATATTTAATAGTGGTAGCAGGGCTACAAATTTGGTGAACCACTGTCAGGAGGCTAAATCCCACATACAGCAATTCAGACGTAAAACTGTGTAAACAAAGTACACAGTTACACTCAACTTACTGATGTCTCTTGCGTTATTTGTCAGTATTTAAACACAAAAACAATACTATTGACAGGAATATTGGGTAGAGAAATTCACTTTGGTTGCCTATTACAATGGCATCTTTGGCATTTCCATCATGTCTCTAAAATTCTTGAATTCTCTGCTTGTTGCCATAAATATTGTACAAAAATGCTCCAAAAATGATAATTGTGATGATAAATAAGAAAAAAGGAAGGACTATTAATAACTGGCGTGGTATAAGTCAACAAACAGTCATAGTACAGAGGTTTTCCAGGGCGAGTTACTGCTTCCTTTTTGTTTTTACTGACCATAACAGTCTTTTGTTTTAGGTTTAATATGAGATTTAAACTGTAACTTACAGCTATGTAGTAACTGATATCTAACAGTGAAATGTGCTCTGGGTGGAATATGAGAAAGGGATATACGTTGCTCTGCTTTAAGCTTTAGCTCAGCTATAGCCACTTTTCTCGCATCTCCAGCAGGAAACTTTAACGCAAAAGTACAGTAGTTTCTTGTAAAATGTTTCTCAATGTTCAACTTTTTACGAAGCTGAATTCGCTTCTCATTCGCCAGCATCTTGTTCGATTTATCCCGTTCCATTAAATCTCAGCCTGAGGCGCCAGAATGGAACTGCGTCACCATTTAAGGTGGAACGTGAAAACTGGCGAACGAGGAGTTGACTTCATCTTCGTGACTTTTTCGTGTTTGACAGTTTATCGTTGCAGATTAAACGTATCAGGAAACCAGCTGGAGTCATTGTAAATGCATAAATGCCATTCGTCTCTAAATTATTGATGTCCATCTTATATCTCTTGCTTTGCTGTTTTGTTAGCTACTACCTGGGCGAGATTGTTGTCTGTGTTGCTATAGTGACCAACAGTCTGTGCGCCAGCCTTCAAGGTTAAAGGATGAATTAGCAGTTCTACATTAACTCCAGAGTTTAAGACCATTTATTGTTAAACTGTGTTGAACAATCAGCAGAGCTTTATTTTACTGTAAAGGAGGATTATTTTATTATTACCTACAAATCTAATTCTGCTGTGGAGCCACAACAGGGTAGCCGCATGTTGCCGACCGCTGTGCTAGACCACGCCCCTCTGCCTGCCACAGACAGCTTCTTTGCAACTCAGCCATGTACTCTTTTCAACAACCATCAAACCACTCCTAAAATTATCTCTCATGATTTAACATGCAGATGTACGCTGTTCCATATTTCTGTACCGGCTACAGCATGTTTGTGTTTGTCTGTAGTTCGAGATCTCGAGGATTTGGAGGGAGACCCAGAAGAGAACAGCGCTGAGTTCATGGGCATACTGATCCAGGCTTTGGCCAAACTTAAGAAGATCCCGGAGACCATTAATGCCATCTTGGAGCGCCTAGAGCCAGAACTCAAACAGATCCTGAAGAGATCCACCACCCAGATTGCAGACCAGATTGCTTACCAGAAAGGAGAAGGCCTGGTTCAGGACAACCAGCCGAGGTAAGAAACAGCTGCAGAATGTTATTGCGGGGAGATGGTGCTTGACTGCTTAGCATGATTAAAGGGCCCATATCATGGTCAACTGAGTTCGCCTCACTTTTTTTTTGAATAAAAGAGTTTGATGTTGTATGTAAACACTGTTTTAAAACGTGCCGTTCACAGTTTAAACAATCCACATGTGGAGAACTAACTGCAGAATCAAGCCGTTTTAAATTTGTATGTCAAAAAAAAAAACAGCTCAATCTGCATATAACAAATTAGCCCTGTCCTTTTACACTTATTTATACTTACTTTTTACACTTATTCATATTTATTTATTTATACTTAAATGCAGGTTTGTAATTTATACTTATAGTTATAAGGAATGTTTTCGGCCTGGGCTGCTGTTGGAAATCATTTACATGTATCAGTCTTAAACGCACAGTAAGAAAAGCAGCCTGCTTAATTCTAAGGGATAAAGAGAGATTTTAAAATGGTCCTGTATGAATGAATTCTGACTGTTTTTGATCTATTAAACCACACAAACATTATAAATGGAGCTCAGGTGGACAAATAAATAAAATACAAGCTAAATGTATTTAATGTGCTCTCTCATCGAGATTATCTTGAGGGTTGCTGTGTCATTTCACAATCAAATGAAATGAAGATTTCTTTGGAATTGCTACTCTTCCTTCAGACCTGCCCTTACCCATTATAACCTTTTCTACAGTCCTTTTCATGCATACATCTTAAACCTTTTGCAATCATGAGATTCCACTGGAGAGTCTAAATTGTTATTCCACTTTCACCGTTGACGGCACAAAGCTGATGCAGTGGTTAACTCATCAGTGACGTTTGAATATTTTATAATGGATAGTTTTCTTTCTCCCGCTGCAAGCCCAGTCCTGAAATCTGTTTTTTTTTTAAACTAAAATTATAACATCATTGTAGCAATTAAGTGGGCAAGCTTTAGTTACGGGTTACTCTCGCATGAAACATTTAAATTACAGACTACCTGCTTTGTAGTGTGAAAAGCACCGCTTATGGCCGACTAGGTGATTGTTTACCCATGCTGTGGCTCAAATGTGCTCTTAAGTAGAAAGAGAACACACACACGCACATATATATATATATATATATATATATATATATATGTATTTATATATATATATATATATATATATATATATATATATATATATATAATGTCGCTGTTGTCGGAACAAAACCTTGTATCTCCAAAATGGTAACTTTACAGGAGAAGGAAAAAACTGCTTTACTTTTAATGTAAGTCAATGGAACCAGACTTTTTTCCATGTCATTTTGGGCCGTTTCTTTTCGTCCATTCATCATAAAATTTAAACACAATGTAAAGAACAACACACATTTTCAAATTATGTCATAAACTGAAAAACGGAGACAGCAACTATATACATATACATACACATGAAGGTACATATAAATAGTTACAAGCCAATATAAGCTATGTAAACCAGTTTGGCAAAAACAGTGATTTAGTATGGTTGGAGCGTAAAGCACTAAGATTTTATTGTTTAAGGGACTATTTATTTAACTTTTATATGTTTGTAAATATTGACTTGTGTAAATATAAACAAGCAAACAAACAACCAAATAAATAACACACAGCCAAAGAGACATCTTTCTGAAAACTTGTAGGGGCAGATTTACTAAAAAAAAGGCACGAGTTACTATCAGTCTACAAACAGCTTTTATGGAAATAAACAAAAGTGCAGGTTTGTAATTAATAAATGACCAGTGCAGTAGAAACCCCTGTGTTCCTGAGGTCCTTTTTGTTTAGAAGCCCAGTTTCATCAGATGGGAGAGTACAATAGTGGTTTGTTCGTAATTGGTTTTTTTTTTCCTTTCCTTCTGGCAACAATATGTTTCCATATTTATGACCAAAATATGCCTTTTCATATCAAAATTCTGATTGGTTTTCCCAATTTTGTGACCTAAAATAATGACTTCTGCTGAAATAATGACTTTTTTTATGATTTTGACTTACAATGTTGAAATAATGAGCTGTTAATCTTCATAAATAATGTTATTATTTTAGCGTAATAATTCAGAGTTTCAAAAGGTCAAACAAAAGCCATAATTTGACAGACTCCTGCCAAAAATGGGAAAATTCAACAACAGGGAACTTTTTGTCAGCTGGTGGAGTTGAGCCTGGTGGGAATTCAGTCATGTTAGTGCCAAAAATCCGTCAAGCTTTTTGCAGGCGTTAAATAGCGCACAGTCAGTTTTGCTATCAGCCTTGGCAAATCAGAGTAAGTGCTTCATTATAATGTTTTCCAAGTATTATTCACAGTAAAGGGCCACTGTGCCAATAAAGCAAATTGCAGTGGTCAGTTTTTAACACCAAAATAGGATTTGCAGCAGCACTAGATGTTATTAAATCTACCCCTTGTTGTCAGCAGTGAACAAGATCACTTAAAGACATCATTTTGATCCAAAAAAAAAAGTTTATTTGCTGTTGTGACGAAACTTTTATGTTGTACTGTAAAGATAATCAATGGATATTTTAGCATATGGATCAGGGCTCCTGTTAAAACATTTCAGATTTGGTTTACTGGTTTATGATCTGTTTTTGTAGTTCAGCTCACCATTAATGAATAAACCTGGTTACAGGTTGGAGCAGGAATAGGTTCTACCTGGTTCAGTTACACGTGACTGTATAAGGTAGCAGCTGCGATATTAAAATAATCATAAAGATTCTGAGCCAGGCACATCCTGACTGCACTGAGAAGCAGACAGCCCTTTTTTTATTTCCTTTTCCCTGAAACTGAGCTCAGCCTTTTTGAATCTACATCACACTTGCGATCATTATTCAGGCTCATTTTAAGAAGCTGAAATTAGTATTGATGACAGTGTCTGCCTTATGTACTGTAAGGCGTTTGTTTTCCAGGGCATTATAGTAGATTTTCTTCCCCCTCACTCTCTCTTTCCCATTAAGCCTTGTGGGATCAATGCCTGCCTTTATCACATCTTATTCATAACTCCCTCATTTAGAGAAATGGTATAATCCATAAAACTACCCCAGCCTGCATTTCCTTAAGTATCGGAGTTACCGAGGAAAAACAAAAGCAATGGGGGAAAAAAGGGAGATAATGATGGCACTTAAGAGAGCACTTACCCAGGGCAAAAATGAACTCGGCTCTCTAGAACGGTTATTCTTCTTAGGCTGTCTCTGGATTATGACACTCCCGCTCAGCTTGTATCACGCGCTTCATTATTCCAGATGGAAATATCTGCAAACTCTCTTGGTTGGATATTATATCCTTTTTTGTGGTTTCTGTGGTAATACAGAAGATTTTGGGTTTTGTCTAGTAATAAATACCGTGGAACATAATGTGTGGCCATGTGTGCACTTGTATTGCTATACTTCTGAGGACCGAATGTCCTCACAGGTACAGCTTAAGGTGAAAATAAAAATAAAAACCCTTGAATTTTTTTCACAGGTCTTTACATATACATTCTATAGAAATACTGCTTTTTCTAAAACATTAAAAATGATGTTTTTTCCGCTTAAGTGGTTAAGGTTAAAGTTATTTGGTGAGGTTATTCTGTATAAAGACTGCCACTAACAGTTATTTCCATAATCAATTAATCTGTTCATTATGATTTTAGATAATTGATCAGTTAGGAATAGAGACAGTGCAGCTGTTTGTCAATCATTAATACTGAATATTTAACATTTATACATGATGTTTTACTTAAAGGAGAATTCCACCAATTTTTAAAAAAAATTGGCATTATTAAATGGTTAAGATGTAAACATCATGTCATTTGTGGTTTGATGTGAAATACGTAGAGTCAGAATTGTTCACAGTGGTGGTGATAGGAACCAGTGGCCGGATTCACGAAGGCTTTTCAAGAAAAAAAACTTAGGATGTTCTCAAACATTCTCTTAAGATAATCTTAATTATTTTCTTACCAATTTCTAAAGAAAATCTTCATCGTTTTCTTATATTTGCTATATTTTACATTTTACTATGTACCATAAACGCACAAGATACAGTCTGAATTTGTATTAACTATTATTCCCGTTATTTAGATTAATCCGCCCAGAGGAGCAAAATGGAGAAAAAAACGTCAAATAAAAAATTTAGCAAACAAGAACTAAAGGTGATGGTGGAAGAAACAGCCAACAGGAAGAAAATCCTTACTGGAAAATATATAATTGGGTGGTGACGGACGAGGATGGGCAGGAGCAGCAGAGACAGCATCCGTGATAAATGTAGATGCTGACCTTGTCAACTCTTACAGCCTAAGACAAGTGTGAGGCTGTGATAAGGTTCAGAAAACATTTAAGATAAAACAGTGTGATTCAGAAAGATTCATCTGATCTCAAAATGATTTATTTCACTTGTAAATCATTACAGATCAATGCAGTAAACTGTAAATGGTTTAAATGAGCATAAAGATTATTATGTAATTTTAGTGCTCAGTATGAACCTCCTCCAGCTGTACGGACAACATCAACGCCATAGTCAAATTCATCCCATACTGGATTGAGCATGTCGGATGTCGCTGCACTTACGGCTCTTTCAGTGCGATTTCGGAGATCATCCAGTGTTGTGGAACCAACGGCGAACGCTCTGAGCTGTTGGAGCTTCACTGCCCACGAAAATCACGCTGCACAGTTATGACTGATTCACTCTTATTGAAGTGGAGAACGCAGAACGCTTTCTGCTCAGGGGTCTCCATCTCCTCTCAGACTGAATGGAGCCATCTTCCAGTGAGAGTCAGAAACTCTATGACCCCCTCTTTCAATTGGATTGTGATTGGTTCCTAGGAGCCTCACGGTTGTAAAAATATGGCGCTTTGAAATCGGGTGAATCTTTTTGAATCACCCTGTATTTTCAAGAATACCACTTATTCTTAGAATTATTCTTTAAAAAATAGTTAGGAAAAGAAAATAAGAGAATTCTTAGGAAGTTATTTGAAGAATAGCAATTTCTCGTAACTTTTTTCTTAAGAATGAAGTTAAGAAAATCGCACATTTAAGATTTTCTTTCTTAAGACACTTTTGGGAATCTGTCCCTGGATGTCCAAAGCATTTGATTACGCTTATTTATAAGTGTTTATTATTTATAATGGTTATGAATATGCTGTCTGATGCATGAGACACTGTTTTCTGATAGTTTTGAGAATGTTTTGGCCTAAAACTCCATTCGTACCTACATGCGGGACATTGTAGGGCAAAGTAGTTGCCAAAGAAAACTTATTTTTACTTACCATGTTGAGTTTTATCTTCATTTTTACATGTAATAGTTCTGCTGCTCTGCCAGGTAAGCTCAGTTTCACAGTCTACAGGAATGAATGGTAATTTTAAATTTCGATGATTTTAAAGTGAAGTGTTTTTGGCGTGGTTTTAACTTGTTGGACCATCTGTATTTTCCATTTTTCAAACAAGTGATGTAACTTCATCTTCAAACTTCATCTTCAAACTTCGTTAACTGAACGATAACAGATTCAGTGCCAACTTTTTATCATTGGCCTTATTGATGATGTTAATTAGTTGTCGCAGCTCTGCTATTGACACAGTCTCACTGTATTAGAGTAAATATAAACCCGAGAAGTATAACATAGAATGTAAATGTGAACTTGTGTTCTGATTGTCCCAAAGATGATCATGTGTGAGATGTGTCTTCTAGCTATTTTCTTCTCAGACAGCCTCTGATGAATTGATTCTGGCTGTCTTTATGGAGATAGCGTTGCTGGCTGTTGCCGCTTAAAATGCTCAGCCATTACTGTGTCATAGGTTTGGCCAAATAATCCAGTGATGTGAGAAAATTGGCCTTCCGTTTGTGAGCTAGGACAATCCAACAATCCACGGTGCAGCTAAATCTTGTTCTTCCTACAGAGGAAATAAAAACGAGTGATGTACTGTTGTGTATTGTGGTTTCATGGTTTACAGTTATAGCCTATTGGGCCATTATGGGTTAGATTCGCTTTCCAGTTTGTTTTCATCTCAGTTTCCCAGATTTAACTAATAATAAACATGCTATATTTGTGTTTAAGCACATTGTAGCATCACCTTTACATTTCTTCTGCTTTACTGATATATATCTGTCCATTTACCTTAAACAGGCCTTTTTCGACAGAAGAGACTTGCTGTAAGTAAGAGTCTCCTTTTGAAATGAAAGTCATTCCTGTCTTTACTTCTGTGTGTCTCTGGCAGCTTACAGCAGTTAAGGTAGGGGACTGTTGCTATGGAAACCCCAACATAGATGGGAAGGCATCCTTGCATGGTGCTCAAGAAAGAGTGTAGCTCAGAGAATATGTTGAATTAAAGTGACATGCCAATAGCCAGAATTTATAACACTTCACCGTAACAGTGTTTAATAGTCGTTTTCTGTTTAGATTTATCACCAAAATGAGCATATGTGTTCTTTTTTTCACTGGGGTGGGTGGGGGGGTGAGATTCTGTGTATATTTTTAGCACTTTCTGATGGCAAAATGTCTTCATTACGATAGGAAAACACGACAGTTTTGTATAAGAGAGCACGTTTCGCTGGTCCACGCAGGAAAAGTGCTGTTTTCACCACAAAACCAGTATCTATAAGATCCAAAAGGTTGGTTTCTGGTTCTTACCGAGGTGGTTATAGGTAAAGGTTTAGGTTTAGATGTAGCATTACTGAACTACATTAGTACAGAAGTATTAAGTATTAGTATCAGAATCAGCAGGTTGTTGCTCCAAACACTGTATCAGCAGCAGACTAGTTTATAATTTTGACTTTGGCCTGTGTGTAAGACAGCGAGCATATATTGGTCTGCTGGCTTGATAAGGTCGGCACCCCAACTGTTTGCCTTCTGGTCCACCCAGATTACTGTCCTGCGTTCAAGCTTTACCTAGTTTTTAATCGCCTTGAACAGATTTTAAATACACAAAGACTTTTAGAAAATAAACTAAGACAAATATTACAAACAACTGAGAGAGAAAATGACTAGAACTAATATAAAATGATTGACACTGTGCTTGATCAAAATTATTTACTAAACTAATTAACAAAGTATAACTAAAGAAAGAAAGGAAGGAAGAATAAGTAAATTGGACTGTGAGTGGAAAATAAGCAATGAGAAGTGGAATTTTGTCCAATGTTCTGCTTAAACACCAGTGGGCCACCCAGAAGATGCTAAGTAAAATGCCAGTGGACCACCGGCTTTGCAATAAGTGAGCCAGCAGTGGCCCACTATCCTCTTGCTCTCAGGATGCACTCTCTGTGTATTTGAATGTCATGGCTACACATGCACCACAATGTCATAGTATAATTATATGAATAGTGAATAGCCAGTCACCTTTTACTTCCCATGGAGCACTTTATTTGTTTCAACTGATTTTTCATTTAAGACTTTAAAATGTCATTTTAGCCCAATTAAAGAGTAAATAATGTTGCTTATATTGTGACTTTGTCTAATAGAAAGTGCTAGAAATGTGCTAGTGTGTTTTATGTGTTCATTTAGCCCACATAGTGTGAGCTTTGGGTTAAGGCTAATAAAAATTGGCCAAAAAAAAAACAAATATTGGTCAGTTTGGTTGTAGGAAATTAGAATTGGTGGATCCTAATACAGAAGTCAATAGATGTACTCACAAATATACTAGCACAAACTAATGTTTGTGTTTTCATTATGGCCAAACTGATATGAACATTTTGTGGCCGATACTGATTTTAAGGGACTAAAAATTCTGATAACTGATATAATTTTATGTTTATGCTGTAAGATTTAATTTTATACTTAAGTAGTTTTATTAAAAGCACTTCTACATTTTTACAGGTCTTTTTACAATGTTTTATGGACTGAAAGCAGATCATTTTTACATGACCATTTTCCAACCTTAAAAATATAACAGGCTGTTCTGCTGCAGCTTTTGAAACTCGCGTATGTAAATGTGCCCTGTTCTGATTGGCTGCATTGTATTGAGCCTCCTTCAAAAAGCAGGCTGAAACACTGAAAACGTTTTGGTGCGACTAAACTGCTGTAGACTGAATAGGCGAATAAATGTAATGTTTAAATGTGAAAATGTTGTTTTTCTTGACATCACAAAAACAATAAATTCAAAACTGGTGGTTTTTGCAGCTTAATCTCCGTATATAGATTGTGTGGACTGGGGAGTAGACATAAAAAAGCATGGAAAGTGGGTTTTCTTCGATACAGACCATTTAACCAGTGCTTTCCTGCCAGATACAAATGTCACTTCTTAAAAACAAGTAACTGAAACTTACAGTCTACAATGAGATAAATACTGTAGCACTGGGAATGGAGCTGCCCACAATGATTTGTGGTTTTGGTTCCTGTTAATTATCTTTTATTTTTCTTTTTCATTGTTCTTATTTCCTGTGTGCAAGATGAATAACAACCAATCCTTTTGAACCGCTGGCCAGCACCACACTAATCACTAAACCATGCAGCCATGCTGATCTTCTATTTTCATCTCCTTCCATCTCACTGGTTCGTTGACAACACCCTAAGCCCCTCATGTAAGACTGCCATCACTGGCTCTAGCCCTCCTTTTTCCCAGCCAAGGCTTTTTTTGTGTCTCCTTTATCCAGCAGAGGCAGCTTTCTGGAATACGAAAAAGTCCAGAAGTGTCCCAGCCTTCCAGCGAACAAAAACCTCAGACAGATGTTAGTCCTCCTAGTGGACCGTGAGAGTTTGACAGATGCTGCTAATTGTTGTTTGCGAACAGCTGCCGTAGCTCAGCAGGGAAAGCCTGTCAGCACCCTACCGTTTCTGTGTTTATTATAAACAAGTTGTGGGGGCCCTTCAGTGAGGTGGAGGGGTCTCTGAAGGTTTATTTCAGCGGCTGGATAGCTGCAACGTTTCGAGAGGCGAAGTAGCGGAGGTGGTGTAGCAGTAGCAAAATCGTGTTGATAAAGACAAGCGATCAGGGGAGAGGTCACTGTGTTTGTTTGACTTGCTCTCTTAATCATATATTTTCTGTCTCTCGCTCTCTTTGTCTTCCTCTCCCTCTGCTGCCATCCTCAGGTTGCTGCTGGAACTGCTCGAGCTGCTGTTTGACAAGTTCAACGCCGTGGCGACGGCTCACAGTATTGTTCTGAACCATCTGCAGCAGATTGTGGTGTCTCCCAACGGAGCCCAGGAGGGCATCAAACTTTACGAGCAGGCCGACGTCTCCGCCAAGATCCAGACTGTGCTGCAGGTCAGCTATGCCAGTGGAATTATTTAAGTTTGATTTTATTTGGAAATCACAAAAGCACAGCCAAGCTATTGTTTTAGATCCAATACATTAAACAGTTGCATCATTACTTAATATACTCATAATCACATCTACTACTTACTACTGTACTCTGCAGATGTCAGAGACTACCATTCATTTATTTAATTTCCAATAAAAAGGCCATAATGTGCAATGATATCCATTTTTCAGTGTCAAGAAAACATATAATCTTGGATAAAATTGCACAGAAGCCTCAACATATACATATTTTTATATTATATAAACTTATATATTTATATTTAATATAATATTTTTGGATTATCTTATCTAATCTGCTCAGAAATATCTCCTGAAAAATGAGTATCCTCTACTTCTTGGCTGTTTTGAAAGGAAATTAAATAAATGAAGTGTGGTCTCTTACATTTGCAGAATGTCCTGTGTTCATACACTTTAGTCGTCAGTGTTGGTGAGGCTATTATTTCAGGCTAGTATTTCGCAGGATCATTCAAACCCTATGCCAAAAATTAGTCACAAATACACTTAAATCAGTAATTAACACTTATTACTAATATTTTTTTATCTAATGATCACACCAAAAATGCAAAAAATGGTGTCTTGTCAAGTGAAATGATCTTAAATCTAGTCAAAATAGTTCCTATTTCCCATTTTGAGATGATTGTGCACTTATTATAGAATTACCTAGTTTATTTCTAGACTTTTTTACTTGTTTTAGGTAATTTTATAAAGTAATTTTGCTAGTTTCAAGCACATTTCTTAAAACGAGCTAAATTATCTGCCAATTTTACTCAGTAAAATTACCTAAAACAAGAAAAGAATGTCTAGAAATAAACTAGATAATCTCACATACAACAATCTCAACAGGAGAAATAGTAGATTTATCTACTACTGCATTTAACATAATTTTGCTTAACAAAATGCCTTTTTTTGCAGTGCATCACTCTGAAGAACACATCAGAGTAGTTTCCACCCAGCATTTGTGATTTATGCATGTAGGTTTGCATTCATGTCACATTAAAAAGGCAGGAAAAATGTATTGAACACAGCAATTTAATCAGTTTACACTATAATGCCTGTTGCCGAATGCTGCAGATGTAGCAGAAACTTGGACGCTTGCCTCTCACGCTTCTGATTGTAGACAAATCAAGAGAGATAACTCGTCCCCTCATGGCCAGCTCTGGGTACTGAATGAGTTTCACTTGGACGACTATCAAGATTAATTATAGTTACAGTCAATCAGTTGCACAGGGATTTAACAGGGTGTACATGGGAAGCTTTAGGTAGATGAAGCTTTGTCAGATTAAGACGGAAGACTATAGTGGACTCTGATTCCAGCAGAAGGCAGGTGTGGACATTCTGCATGCAGGTTTGTTGAGGTCAGAAGTTCATCACAGAGACAGAAGCCGTCCACTGTCAGCCCCCCACTGCCGGCCCCAAAGGCTGCAGGTATCTGCTGCATGCAGGGAGGACCAGAGAGCATCAGGCGGACTGATGCAGGGGGAACCATGGCAACGGGTATCCAGACAGCATCATGCTGCGGTGCAGCAGGTTTTGCTGCATTCTGCAACAGTCTACTGCAGTTTTCACACAACAGCAGCAGTGGATCTTCAGACAATGAGATGTTGGGTCAGTTTTAAAGCAGGTTTTAAAGGTTTTAAGTGGGTTGTGAATCTTTCAGCTATAGCCAGTTTGTTTACATGGTCCCTTCTGTCTGCAAATGCATTGAGCATATGAATGTAGAGGAGATATGCGAGGACTACTGTTCATAATTTTGCGTAGATCTCGTCTTAATGTCCACTTTCTGATTTTGGAGCTGTTATTTCGAATAGAGCTTTTATTTCAGATAATATGAAATCATCTTTCTGTTGAAAGAGGCAGGTGGGGAGCTGAGTGGGAACCTTACGTTTGCTGAATAACCCACACTAGCTCCTCCTGATACCATGCTTAATTGGAGTGCGTTAATTGTGAATTATTGACTCTTGAGAGATTCTGTGTATGTTTAGCGCCACGTAGGGTGGGATATGCTGTCCGACTGATTTTGATATTCGACTATTCGTAAGCATTCATGAATGGATATTTGGTTAAGCGCAGGGAAGGAGAAACAATGGCAAAAAAGGCCGAAATGGTTGCACAGAAATATAGCAGCATGCTGAAAAATACATTTGTCAAATAATTATTTATTTTTTATATTTGTTATTCAAAACCAGCTGGAGGAAATTAAGTTTTTGTATTGGAAGATTGTTCGAGGCTGCCTCTCTTTTCACTCTCGCTGGTTCCTGTGGTTCAGCTTAGCTCTCACAATAGTTTACGATATTCCTTAGCTGTATAGTAGAAAGGTGGGGGCGGTGAAGTATGGAGAAGATGGGAGAGGGAGCGTTAGAGAATGTATGTGAGTGAGAGCGAAAGAGAGAGAGTATAGAAGCAAAATGAAGCAGGGAGGAGAGTGGCAGTGCAGGCTGAGAATGAGTAAATGGGTTTGTCATCACTCCATCAGAAAAGGCGAGGAGTCGCACGCTGACCTTGTACTTTCCTCCTCTTTCTTCAGAGAGAGCGAGAGCGAGAAAAAGAGGGGATAGGGTGCATCCCTGCCGGGAGACTTTGAGCAATCAGTTGCAGTCCCAGTAGAGTTACCGAAAAGGCAAAGCATATATATTTTAGTGTCATTTTATAAATAATTCTGAATCAATATGTAGCTGTTTATTTTAGACTGTTTGTCTAGTTGGATTGCGCTGGCGTGGAGTAAATTGGTCACATGAACATGACAAGGAGTTCCTCCACAGGTGCGTTACGCTACTGATGTGGGTTTGGAATGAATACATATTTAACACTATTCTAATCCTTTCAATGCTGTTTCATCTTTTGCGTCTGCTGTCTGTTGTGCTATCAAAGGACATAAAACTTGTGGTTTTTATATGAAGTGAGGGAAAACACTCAGACCCTGCTATGAAATAGGCACTGAGGATTAGTGTGAAAGGCAGATGATCAGATGGTGATTCAAGCAAGCGGATAAAGGCTTTGAGTTTGAGAATGTAAAGGTAAGTGGTGGAGGCTGGGATGAATGAAGGAAAACACTTTTTTTTTTCCTCCACAGAGTCCCTGCCTTTGCTGAAATGGATCCCATTAAGTCCCCGGCGCAGTTCTGCGCACAGCATAAGCCCGGCCGTCGCCGGGGGCTGCGCACCCTCCCGTCTCTGCGATGAGAGATAATGTAATCTCTTGATTAGAATCCTCATAATGGGAGATGAGCTTTTTTATATTCAGTCATTCGTGTTATTATTTTCCCCTCCGATTGTTTCCTTTCGAAAGGCTTCTCGTCTGATTCCCGTTCCTTCGCACCCCCCCCCTTATTCTTCGGGCTGTGAGTGACAAAGACAGCATGGCAAGTACATGCTCCGCCTGGCGATCAAGCACGGCCGCTTCTTCTGAAAGCGCCTCAGGTTCCAGCGGGCTTGCTGATTCCGGTCCAGCAGGAACCTATCTGCAGATCTCAAGTCGGTAGAAAACAGGGAATGTGTAGCAGCACCTTGGGAAGCTGTGCTTGAGCTGCGGCTCGTAGGTGCCGTTGGAGGAGGAAGATAAAAGCATTTGGCATTCAAGCAAAACGCAACTGGTAACATGACAGCACCAATATACCTTCAAGTAAGAGCTAGACAGGAGGACATGAGGAAGATTTTTTAAACATGTTACTCTTGAAACGTCTTTGCTTTTCATTACCAAGTTCAGCCGACCGAGGCACTGTAATTTTAAGGACAAAGGCAGCAGTCACGGTGGACAGTGTGTGACACGTCTGTCAGTGTTTTAAGGTAATTGTGCTCCTCTAGTGGACATGTCCGTATGCTTTTAATGGGAAGGAAGCCGATAGTGTGCCCAGTTCGTGGCAGTGATGTGCTGGCAGACAAGATTCAGTTATTTCACAGCATGAAAGATAGGTGTAGGAGTATTGATGACTCTGATGCCTGTTGTGAACAAAGGTGCATATTGTGTATGTGGTTTGTCTGCCCTGGTCCAGATCATTAGATTCACACTGACATATTTGACATCTAAGCATGACATCGAAGATGTAAACAAACGTCATACGGATAAAGCCATGGCTGCACAAATATTGGCGATTACACACTAAACGACTTGGGATTACCCACCACTCAACTGTCAAGCTGTTGCTGAACCGAACTGAGCTCACTGAACTTGCACGAACTTGCATTCTCTAGTTACTAGGAGGTAGTGGTTGGTATAGTTCAATTTCAAGAGGCTTTCATTTCAGCTATATACAAATACACTGTGAAATGAAACAACATTCAGGACCAACATTGAGCTCCAGGACCATGACCAAAACAGAACACCGACAGTGTAGTATAGTGTAGTGGGTAACACCTCTGCCTTCTACGGTGTAGACTGGTGTTCAATCCCCTGCCTGGGCAATCACCCTACACTGTACCGATAAGAGTCCTTGGGCAAGACTCCCAACATTACCTTCTTTTACCTGTGTAAATTAATCAAATTGTAAGTCATTCTGGATAAGAGCGTCTGCCAAACCATATAAACGTACATGTAGGAGACACGTGGTGTGGCTCGCTGCTGCTGCTGTTTTCTCTGCCATTTGCATGGACCCATTAAAGAAGCAATGAGTAAACATGTTTAAGTGAGGGTCATGGATTTGGTTATGGATTTTTTTAGCGTTTTAAATGTACTTAAACTCTGTTGTGCTTGTGCCTTAAACTCAGCTCATTAAAAAGCTTCGCACCACACGTGCGAGTTTTCGGCATTTTTCCTTGTTTACTTGCTGTATTTTCTTCTTTCACGCTCTCGTTTTTCCCGTTGACCAGTGTATACACTATTAGATTACACTCAGAGTTGCGTTGAAAAAATCAAATATGTTTGATAAACTCAGACTGGTCTGAAACTCGATCAGGAGGCCAAAAATCTGACTCTGCGCCGCTCACACACTACTCGATTCTCTCTCCAAC